GAGGGTGTTGGGGTGGGGGAGTGTGTGCTACAGCTAAGGAGAGGTTAAAAGACACATGGAGGAATATGAATCCCTGCGCCCCTACGCACGAGCATCGCCCCTGTTTTTGTTTGGTTTTTTTCCGTGGGTGTGAAAATTTACCAGTGCTTCCATCGGTGAACGTCTCCATCCCCGCCATGCGAGCAGCCTGTCTGGACAAGAGAGGGATGGAGAGCAAGAGATGGGGGAGAGGGTACGGGGGAGGCAGAGGTAGGTGAAAGGGGGGCCGGCCAGTGCTGGTTGGGGGGCTCGGAATTAAAGCGGGAGGTGGGGGTGTTTGGGTGGGATCTGGTAACACCCTAACCTTTCATGTCTCCCTCTCTCGCCGTGTCTCTCTCGTTGTCCCTCTTTCTCTCTCCATCCCTCACCCTCGACTTGTGTCTCTCAGCGGTTTCCATGGCGACCCGGTGGCTGTGGTGCTGCTGAGGAGAAAGAGGCGCGTGCGTGACAGTGGAAACAAGAGGGAGGCAAGGGAGACGGTCATTTGGGAGAGCAGGGGGAGGGGGGGGGGGGGGGAGTTCACTAAAACATCCGAGGTAATTAACAACCGGTAGCCTGCGGGGGATAAATGGCCACCACAGATCTCACGGCTCCCCAAAAGGTAGAAGAGTAAGTAAGTAAAGATGTTTACAGGGCCTGAGCAGCCCGGAGGACGATCCCCTGCATAATAACCTGATTAAAGCCTGAATAAACTCATAAAGCAGAGCTGTCTTAGTTTAGATCTGAAAACCAGTCTGTTTTTTTTCAGGGCTTTTCAACTTTTTCTTCCAGGACTGGCTCCGTGACGCAGCTGGGAGGATATTCAGAGCTCCGCTGCTTTGAATACAAGGCCTCCTGAAAATGTTTATGCATCAGTGTGCTGCCACCTGCAGGCCGCAGAGAACAGCCTCCTGACCAGCGGGAGGCCGTCCACGTTTACAAAAGGTCGCTGGCACAAGTCCTCTTAATACGCTGTTTAATTGACAAACCCAAAAATAATGACCCAAACTTCATCAGCATCACTGAAAATATTGCCATTTAATTTTCTTTCAGTATCCCCCCAAAAAACAAACAAACAAACAAATAAAAACAAAACAACCCACATCTTATACATAAAAATCCTTTTCTGATTTACGATTGGTAAACCAAGTGGATGATGACACAAATCCGTCTTGTGCTTTTTACCAAAACGCCCTCGTCTTCTAACACCACATCTGGAAGTGCACCCCCCCAAGACGGCTTTTCGAGAGGACCACCTTATCTCATTTTCTCCCTTCAGTGAAGGCAGAGAGTGTCTCCCATCAGAGGGGTGGCCGGTGTGCTGCGGGTGGACGTACAGAGGGCCGCAGCCTCTCTGGGCTTTAGATGACAGGTTTGGATAGGAGCCTGATTCAGGTCTGAGCTACCGCCAGATGACTCGGGTCTTCATCCAATCAAGGTGGGGGGGGGGGAACACCTGCGGACAGCTGAATAAAGTCTGCTGGAGGATGATGGCCGGTCCCCCGCCACACACACCAGCAGGACATTAGCTTTTGCACCCAATACTATTTGCGCCATGAAACACCAAAACCACCTCTGATGTTCCTGTGAGGAGGTTTTAGGCAATAAACTGAGCACCCACTTGATCAGATGTTCACAGTGATAGAGTCTGGAGAGAGACGGAGAGAGAAAAAAACCAAGAGGATAGTCTTATATTGCTTATTTGAAGTTATTCCTCCAGACCAAGTGATAGAAAGTGAAAACATATGTTGAAACTGATCGATTCATTACAAAACACACACACAAAAAAAAACAATATCGTCTTTATTATTTGCAGAATTGCCTCCATCACCCGTTTTCCTTCAGCCGTGTCTTCCAATCACGCCTCGGCTTCCCGGTCAAATGCATCACCGTGGCTGCCGCTGACCCGGCCTGTTCCGTTGCCATAGCAACGGGGGCTTTGACCCCACGTCTGTGAAATCCTTGACCTGGATGTAGATCAGCCGGACGCAAAAGCGCCCTATTGGGCGAGGTCGGAGGAATCCGGGGCGGTGGTTCGGCTTCAAAGCCACAGAGGAAGACCACCATTCAGAACTGATCACTCACTGCCCCCCAAAACTCCATCGATCAATAACCACTGGGCCAGGAAATAGCCCCACACACGACGGGCTGGAAAAGCAGCTATTCTTGATCTCGTTTGTCTTAATTAGGGGGGCTGACGGGACGGAGGAAGAACCCAGAGTTCTTGTCCTTGGATATTTGTGAGCATAAATGTTCCTGAGGGCTCCTTATCTACACCCCGCATTTCTAAGACAAACAGTCTCTCCCAGTGGATCTGAGAGGAGCCTCAGATTTGAGGATGAACATGGCAGCGTGGTTCCAGCTGGTCTCTGGTGCTCCTGCAGACATCTTACAGCGCCTCAGTCGACCTCCACTTTGCCGGCCGTGCTTTAAGGCTTGGTTGTGGTGAGAACTCGGCTTAAAGAAAAAAGAAAAAAAATAAGAAAGAAACCTCGGTTTTCCCAGAAGCTGGCCCGGGGCAGTTTAGATGGCCATCAAACAAGGTGCACTTCACATGATAGAAATGGCCCCTTGGAGTGTTTCCCAGAGGGCTGGACCCTCTTACTGTTTTTCTACATGATGGCAGGTCAATAATATAACTTCATTTGCACACAAAGCAGCTTTTTAGACGTGGGGCTGCGACCAGAGTGCTCTTAGGAGACCCAGGGGTGGCATCTTTAAGGCAGCCCGACACTGGGACCTGGAAAACAACAGAGCCCCACATATTTACAAGAGATCTGCTTTTAGCCGAATTACGGTCCGCATCAAAACCACAGACAGAAACGGTGAGTCAGAGATGAACTGGTTATCGTTGCCTTTCTGCGAAGTCTTTAGGATATGTCGCTGGTTTAAAAAGACACAATTTAATCTGAAAATGTCACTGATTGCATAGTTTTTTTCTTAGAGAGTAAATGTAGAACCAACATTTACCTGATCTATTAATCTGCTTGACGAATGCTTCAATATGGTCAGAATGAGTCAAACTTAAGTGCCTTTCCTAAGTATTAACCCACATTTTCATCATATCGATACTTCTTAATGTTACTAGTGGCCCTTTGGCTTTTTTCCCCCCTGTATGATTAGTCTTGAAACAGTAGAGCTATGAGGAAGGTGGAGGGAACGTGACACGTTAGCTAACCGCTCAGAATAAGACAGATGATCCCTGTTCTCCAATTGCCTGCAAACTGGGATCAGAACACGTTACTTGTAGATTTTTTTCCTTTTGGGCCCTTTTGTTAGGTTTCAATCAGGCTGAACAATAGAGACCAGGTGTTAGGCTGAAAGTTACTGTTGGACATTATCTGTGCAGCGCAGACGAGTAAAGCAACCACACTCTGAGAAATAACACATTTTGAAAGAGGCTTGAAAGTCTTCTTAGTGCCTTATTGAAAAAACACAATTTCTTTGAAACACTACAAGCTCACAATAAAAAAAGAAACTTGACAAAAGGAATTTGAAGCCATCAAAATCTTTATTATTCACAAGAAATTATTTGTTTTATATAAAGATTTTCACCCCTCCCCACAACAAAAAAAACAATTATCCTTTTGAAATCAAATATTTTCTCTTAAACAAAAATGTTCTCCTGAATCCGTGAACGGTACAAACATGCGCTAATTATTTTTACCAAAAACTCACAATAAGTAAACATGAAAATGGGCCCATTGTGTTGGTCTCTGCCCCGTCCCCAGAACCCCACTTCAGACAGTGTCTGCCTGCTTAAGTCGTGCCAGTATGAAGGGACTTAGGAGTGAGGGCCTTATTGATCGTCTTCTATGAGTGAAGTCCAGGCATTAGTTCCAGCAGGGTGAGTAGACAGCTGTCCGTGAGCCACTCTACTGGGCCTACATAGCAGGGCTGAGTGGAGCTGGGATGTGCACTTTTGATTTTGATCTCCCCAACATCGCTTCTATTGACCGACGCACTGTCCTGTGCTTTACTTGCTGGAGAGAGCCACTAGCCGAGGCCTAGCTGGAAGCCCGGGCACAAGCCGCCGCCGCATTATCAGGGCTGCTCTTGACAAGCTTTTGATGAAGAATCTTCCATGGTCTGCCGAGACCTCTCCCTAATCACGGCTTTGATCGACTGGCGGCTGCCGTATCCACTGACCACAGCAATAAGGAGTTGGGTTATCGTGGCACACAGGGACAAGAATTCCAGTGTTAAGTTATCTGGAAATATATGTGTGTGTGTGTGTGTGTGTGTGTGTGTGTGTGTGCGTGCAGACGAGGGTCCCCAAAGTTGCAAGCTTAAGTCCCACTCTGGTGAAAACAGCCACTTCTCCTTCTGCGTTTGATTTTCTTTTAGCGAGAGATCAACAACTTCTTACTTCCTTCAATTTCTTCATTTTGATTAGTGACAATTTGGAGTTACACAATGATAGAATTCCAACAAAACCGAAAAAGCCAACCCAACGCAAACGTGGTCTTGTTTCAGTACTTGGAATTTCAAAGGACTCTGGTCCATTAATTACCGCTATCTGCTCCTGTGACATCGTATTTCAGGACATTATCTTTTCATTTCTGGAAACCCTGCTGCCTTCAGGGGGCTCACGACTTCATCAGGAGGGACTGGCTTGTTAATGTTCTCGCTGCCGCAAAGGAGAGAAACATGATCTGTCCTTGTTTAATCCTGGTGTCTTAATAAGTAGCACCTGTGCATGAATCCAAATGGAGAGCACACTGATCCATAATCCTTCTTTTTCAGTCACAAATAATACTTATGGTCCGGCTTCTTTAGAAAAACGAAAAGTGGGTTACCAACTGAAACTAATGGTAAGTTCTGCCATCTAGTGGCTGTTACATGGATTGCACCTGCAACATGAGGCCGTAAAAGTGCTTCCAAATTCTGCCCAAATCCACCACTTTCTCTCATAATCCATACTGTTCTCTCCTTTAAGGTAAATAGAATACATAAGAAAGAGTCTTATCAGGCCTTAAAGCCTAAGGATTCTCTATGCGCCCACCACAAGTTGATGACATCATTTTCCTGGCTCTCAGCAGCCTCCGGCCCTCCTCGTAGTCATCTTGGTCCACGCTAATCAGGAGACGGACGCCCTCCGAGCCCGCCGCCATCCTCAGGGAGTCGGTGATGAAAACCCCTTTCAGGGCCTCCAGCAGGGCTCCGCTCAGGTAGTCACCCCAGAAGGCCTCCAGGTTGTCCAGCTCTGTGAATTTGATGTCGCAGACGATGGAGCCCAGATCTCTGGCTCGCAGCAGCGAGCTGGCCCGGCTGAAGAGCTCAAACTGTCGCTCCAGCGGCTGCCGCTTGTCCGAGGCCACGCCGTCACGCAACGCCGACTCGTGCTCCAGGTACTCAGCACGGACCCGCAGGCGGATATCTGATAATCGTAGAGGGTGAAGAAACGGCGGGAGAGACGGGTGAGGTGGTGGGAGAGAGTATAACAGGGGGAGGAAACAGCCAGAGTGGGGGAAAGATGGAAAGACAGAAGAGAAAGCGAGAAAAGATACAAAGGGGTAATGAAGTCAAAATAAAAGGGAAGAGAAAGAGGAACATGACAAAAAAACAACATTAAAACGTGGCTCTTTAAGGCTCAATAAATCAATGCATGACAATAAGGAAAGGCTTTAAAGTAAAAAGGAAAAAAAAGAAGAAAAAAAGGGGGGGGGCACGGTTTCCATAAGCAGACTGTGACCCAATAGGCCATCTTCTTACTGGACTTGAAATTACACAGTGAAATACTTGTGGATAGCTCTTTGGGTTGGACTCTGACCAAACAAACATAATGGTACAGCAGGGCACGGCAGGCTGAATTAGGCATGGTACTGGAACTAGGCCGAGCCGCCTGAGTCTTTTGGCGCTAAATACGGCCCCCACTGTTGCTTTGGGTGAAAATGAATTTGACAATTCGGAGCAATGAAAGAAATACTCATCTGATCCAGTTGTGCAGTTCCATTTCTTGGTCGGGCAATTCTATCATTTTGAGAATCATTGCCAGCTGTCAACAAAACGATTGAATCAGAGGACACTGGTGCATGAGAAGTTTCAACATGACAGCTTTTAAGGTCCACATCAAATCATGGCTGTAGCGTTCATGTAAATAAGATATTCAAATGCACTTGAGGCGCTGAGCAACTATCACTGCAGAGCAATCAGAATAACATGGAACGGACACGCCTTTAGGAGATTTTTTTGTCTCAGACTGGAGTTTAAACCTCAAGGTTCAGTCAGATTAATGTGAATATTGCTTATTATGAATAGCTCCTTGAGTTCCTCAGTTATCAGGATTGGTGGTCATGCAACAGCACAGCGAGAAAGATTAGAGGATACATACTGTACTGAGCAAGAGCAACGCTGAGATCATCCCTGATGTCATTTTTCCAGAGCTCCAAGTGGAAACCAGCAGCGGGCGACTTTTGCTGTAACAAAAACCCATCTCTCCCAATCAAACGCTTTCAGGAGACATTTGCCACCAGTGACATCCATTTTTCCAGAAACAGTCTCAGTGTCTGACTGCAGCGGGGTGCGGAAACAGAGCAGCAGATTTCCAGAGTGAAGTCAATTGAAATATCAGCCCATTGACACTCATAGATGAGGGTTTTTTTTTACAAAGAAAAACCTAGCAGGCTGGCTTAAAATGTTAAGAAAACCTGTGCCATATGCTGGACGTGAAAGTCTTGTATGAAAACAGCTTGAAAATGCTACAACCATTTAGTAGTTCCATTTATGTGTCGAGAAATTTAATAACCTAAAAAACACACCCCATCTAAATCATGGAAAGACAGTGGCTTAGTGTCACTTATTAACAGGAGATTTTCATGTTCAAATTTTAACTGCATAGCAGCAATATTAACACTAATAAACTGCTCATTTTCAGTCCCATCTACATTCTTTAAAACCGTACTTTGTTTGAGGCTTAGGGACAAAATACTCGAGAGGTATAAAGTTTGGAAAATGCCAACATTAGAAATGCAAATGTTGAATTAAGGCATTGATTTAGCATCTCTTAACATTTGTGGAAGAGGGATAATCAAACAATAGGTTGACTTGTCTGCATGCTTTACAAGTGTGTAATTAGATTATTATAAAAACAGCAGACTGGGTCAACGGGGACATCTAATTAATATGGTTCATTAAATATTTCCATATTCAAGCTTGGTAATAAGATAAAACTTTAAAAAACCCATTGGCAGAGCACCATTAATTCACAAAGAAATGAGTGCAAAAAGCTTTTGTTTTGGTTCTTTTTTTCCCCAATAAAAAGTATTATGGTACAAAAATATGAATGACGGACATTTACAGTGATACATTTTCTGCTGAAAAATGATCAAACCATTTGTTTACAATATAAGAATAACTAGCACTGGTCTGCATATTGCCTCCATTCACAATACAAAGATGTCATTTTGACATGTTGCTAATAAAACCTTTTAAAATCACATCATAACTGTCAAAATAATAGGAATTCCCCGATTTTATTGAATTAACAGTGATTAGCAGTTGTAGATGCAACTCATTGAAAAGATTCCATCATGACATTTTTTCACTTCAGGATCAGTCAGAAAATGCACAAAAAGAAAAAAAAGGTTCCATAGTAACAATACCCTTCACTATGATATCACTGCAATAAGAAGCTGCTGCAGCAGCATGAGTTACATTTCAACACAATGGTGTGAAAATCTGCACAGATTAATTTACAATTCAAAAGAATTTCTATATATTAATCAGTTTCTTAAAAGCACCTTTTGTTATCAAGTTTAATGAAAGAAATTAATGAACGGACCAGGGAAATAAAATGCCATCAATCGGTGACATCAGTGATGGGGTTATTGATTCCAAACCAGACGTTTAGACGGAAACAAATGACTGCTGATTACCTAAATTTTTCATATCTGGTATGGTCTGAGTGAGGAATCCAGTTTAACTCTGAGCCTCATTAATTGACCCTTTTAGTCATTACACCATGTGAGGGCTGGGACTACCATAAACACCTGCCCTTCACGCAATTACTGCATTTATGGATGGCCTCCATTTCACTTTCCCATTTCATACTGACCAGGATGGAGGCAGAGATAGTGACACTAAGAAGATGGCCATTTAAAATCACAGGAACACAGTGATGGTCATTTTGTTAGGGTTACAGAGCACTTCACGCTTCATCAGACACAGAGACATCCACTTAGACAGGACATTAGGAGTGCACAGCTTTCATTTTCTCACTTTATACACCAAACCCGTTTGGCTTCCTCATCTCATCCCAACCACCAACCCCCCCCCCCAAAAAAAAAAAAAAAAAAAGTTTAAGTACCCATTTACGAGGAGTCACTTGGCACGGAGAGCTTCAACTCTTTATCGATCCATTTTTCTGCTGAACGACTGACCGAGAGAGTGGAAAGCTTCGGAAGTATTGAGAGACAGGTAGACAAAAATCTCTCTTAACCCCATAGGCAATTCACTCTTTACCATTTTGCGTAGTTTGAACATTTAGTGTTCTCTCTCTCATTGTGTGCAAGGACATTGTTTCCCTGACACACAGGTTGGTCTGTTTAGAACTGTGAATACAGAGAAAGGAGAGAAAGAGAAAAAGAGACAAGCACAAGTGGGTTGGATATCGGTTGACTGAGTTGTTTCTTTCTTCTTTTTTTATTTCCTCAACATCAAGCAGGCACTTCTAAGTCATAAATCAGGGATGAAAAATCAGACCAGTAGTTGGCATGTACAATCAGCCCAGAATTGCTTTTACTGTATAAAATATTGTAAGGCTTGGGATTACTCTTACCAAAGCCAATCCCATTACCTTTTCTAACTAAACATTCAAATCCTTAATTGTAACATTAATAGTCTGTCAGCCCATTGGGGAAGCAGAAAAAAAACACGCTACCAAGCTGATGGAAATATGTCTGAGAGGTGATCATTGCCAAAATTCATCTCAGACACTTGGCTCATTTAGGTGAGCATTCATTTCAGATACGAGCTATGGCAAAGGAGTACTAGTGAGCTCTGTTGAAATGCTAGTGGCCAGCGTTGGACTGAGCCGCCCCATCTATCTCTGCTCCGTTCTGACAAACACACACAAACACCGGGGCTCATACAGGACACAGAGATAAGATACAGCATGAGCTTCCTTCAGCAGAGCACTTGTTCCGTTACTTTCCTGAGTTTGAGAAGAAGCTTTAGAGGCATTTCTTTAAAAGCCATCTCTTGGCAGACATTTTAGATACTCTGGAATGGAATACAAGGCCAGTCCTCAGAGATTGAAAGGTAAACAAGCCCAATAAGCACTTTGGTCACATGAGACTTCAGAGACAGCTCATTTATGTGAGGATTTAGTTATTATCCAATGTGATCTGCATTGAGGGATCTCAAGGCAGATACTGTATGTAACCATTTGTAATGAGGATGAATCCAAATGATTGCCCACATGCAGAGATAAACGTATTCACAATCATGTTCAACATAATTTTGTCCTTGCATATTAAAGTTTGTACATAATTGTAATGAGGCAATCTCCCGAGTGCACCATTTCTTATTGATAGATGCATTGCTAAATTACTACATATTGGTGCACTTGGCTGTTGTCTCCGAGTTATCTCTGCTTTTTTACTGCAATATATAGTCTCAGTTTCAGGAGATGTAACACGATACAAATACTGAAATGAAAGTTAGCAACTCTGCTGCCCAGGACAAATGAAAAAATAAAGTATATTGGCCATGTTTGTTATAATCTATCAAATTGACTAGAAGACATTTTCACCACTCTTTCTCAAATGGGTTTGATTTCACTGATATCAAATTAGATATTCAGAGATTGTTTCTGTTTGGCATGTTTGCCTTCAACATCAGAAGCAGACTTTTTTTTTTTTTTTGCCTTTTGTGTCCGACTGTTGAGGACTCTGACACCAGATGAAGAAGAATCCAAAATCTTGGACTGTGTTTTCTTCCACAGTGCACAACACTAAGGAACATCACAGGATGATTTTCTGAGCAAATTGATGTTTGATAATAGGGACCAGGTAAGGAGCAGCTACATCATGATACACAAGCATCGCATCAAAACAAAGGAGCAGCACCAACCCCCATTGTAACAGAGGGGAGAGCCTTTTTTTTACCTTAGGCATCGGCCCAGACTCGTGAGAGCACGTGACTGAGTTGAGCACGCACACTGCAGTATGAATGGACAGAGTGGAGTGACAGACTTTTTTGTTTTGTTCCTCAGTCTCCACCTCTGTCTTCATGATCCATTGTGTCTTAGGTTACTCGATCTGAGTCACAAACGGAGTCAACCTGGTGGAATCAAATGTGGAGTCAAGACAGCAACACGTTTATAGTCACAGGCACATCAGTCAACTTGAATATCTAAGAAGGGCTGTCTTCATTCTTATTGGTAGACTTTTTCAATAAAGTCATTAGGCCCGTTGTGTTACAAGTATTACTGATTTGCAGGCAGTGACAAATGTTTAAGTCACCCAGACTAAACGTCTGATGAAGTGGCATTAAAGCTGGTGTAACTCAGTCTTGTAATGCAAGCATCGTGGAATCAAAATTAGGGATGGGTATCGTTGAGGTTTTGTTGGTTGATTAAGCTTTCAGGTAAATTCTTCTGTCACTCATTCTAAGATAAAATAAAGACAAAAAAAATAGATATAAAAGGATTCAACATTTCTGCGGAAGCACATTATATTCTGTTCAGATCTAAAGTGAAAATGCTTTTGAAGTCTATGCGTGACTTTGGGACAGGAATAAAAATACCTCAAAATCTGAACTGTGCGTTAAGTTAACTGCTTATTTTGTTTTATTTTAATGAGATAATTCTATTAACATTGAATTGAAACAGACATTATAAATTGTTTTTTTTCCACCAGCATCAGTTGAGACGCTGTAAAGTTGGCAGTGGTTGCTTTTCTGAAGCAGTCTGATATGGTAAACAGCTTCTGATTTCAGAAAAGCTTAATTTGTACAGATGATGCGTAACTGCCTTTTCAATATATTGCAGAAGATGGAAATGTCTGGAAAGCACAAAATATGAACACCTACATGATGCTGGCAGCTTCCTCATTACCAAGAAGCAGTTTAAAATGTGGAACGTTCAACTATGTTAGAATAAATGTTACATTAATATGCAAAGTAAGCCTTTTGTCTAAGAAAAAGGAAGTACACTGTTACGTTTTGATCAAAAAACAGCTGTCAAATCATGTTTTTCTAACTATTTGGACTTCATACTTTTCAATTGATATTCAAACTTACTTGTGACCTCTATTTCTATGCAAAATGAAAAACAAAAACAAAAAAAAACAAAAAACTCCAAAGGTACTTCAAGACAATTAGATTAAGCTTTATAATCAAATCTAGCTGCCAATTTAACATAATTCTGGGTGAATGAGAATATTATCTTTTGAAGTCTTAATGGGCAAATACTAAGAACTTTATGACATCCATATTTAATGTTTATCAAGTCAGGAACTTGAGTCAATTCTGTGTCAGTTCGATACCCATCCCTAATAAAGGCAAGCGATAGCTGAATATATAAAGAGCACATTAACACTGGATACGTAGTGTACTTTTGTGGAGAAGAACAGATCAAAACATATTTCCTTGGACATGTGAGGCTGAGAGTTGTCAGAGCAACTTGTGATAACTGTGTGTCAAGACTGAAAATAAAGCAGAGCAAAGGCATTAATCTGGTGGATGGACTAGACACTTGTATTAAAATAATAAACAAAAGGACAGGAAACAGCCACAGGTTTGCACTCTTAATGGCAGCAGCCAAACAGTCCAAAGGATTAGAGAAAAGGTTAAATGAGTGACAAGGATGTAAAGAAGGGCGAGGTGAAGAAACATAAAATGAATAATATATCTGATGTACATTTCATAAAAGACAGATGATGAGATACTTTATTAATTATGTGTTATGGTAACGCTTTCAAATAAAAATATTGGCAATACCATTAGAGAGGGCAAATGATCATAACTGTCACTGTGTTTCAATAACTAGTGCAATCAGAGAAAAAAAAAGGTAAGTTGATTTTCAGGCTAGCTCTCTTTGTCATACATTTAACTGGTTTTAAAAGGTGGTCTGTGGCATTGTATTACTTTCCCATTCACTTTGTTAAATTCTTTAAAAACAGTGAAAACTCTGGGGCAGTTTTTTTTCCATTAAGTTTAAACACAAATGAGCAAAATTTGGCTCAATTTGATTATTAAATAATGAAAAAACAAAATCCAGACTTGATGTACAGACTGATGATTTTGTAAGCAGATATACCACATCAGTATTAGGAAGACAACAGGAAATGTAGCCAACTTGGGAAGGTGTTAAAAAGCAGACAATCAATACACATGTATCATCAACTATTAGAAGGGGAAATAGTCAAGAGGAGACGAGGAATGAAGGAGACAAAAGCTTAAAAACCAAAACAAAGGTTCAATATGCATGTTCAGCACTTACCACAAGACACTTTCTGTGGTGCTGGAGGCGCTGGCTGAACCGGTCTACTGGTTTTCTTGGACCTACGGCACCAGCCATTTCCTCTCCTCTTCCTCCGTCTCCTTGTAGACGAGCAGTCCACGGGAGAGTAAATATCTGAAAGCAAATTAAAGAATTTATCAATGACAAGCAATGTATGCACAGTAATGGCCCCGGCATTTTTTTTTTTTTTTTTTAAATCGGAGCTTCGAACTGCTGCTCCATGTAAACCAGTGACTCTTGCCAGTGATAAAACTCACACACTAACATTTGACTACAGGAAGCAATACTGAAGTGTTTAATCTGTATAATTTCTTGAGCCCCATTTTCATTATATAAACATACTTTTACTGACAATTAATGTAGATACTATAGCACAAAGAGAAAAGATACAATCTGATTAACGCACTACTTTACCCCATGATTGGTTGTCCAACACAAAAATAAATTATTGAAGAGGCTATCAAAATATAACATTAACATAGACAAACAAAATATTCATGTAACTAAAACATGGGTACACGTATCAACTCCTCTGTAAAATGATATGCAAAACATGGCTTACATCAGCATGTTGCACCTACCTGTTCTCAATTGTTGTGTGAAAGATGGAAGTGACATTTCTGTTTCGCTGCAGGTGTTCTGTAACCCAGACACCAATTCTGTGTGATCCAGTTCATATCTCGGTCTAGCCCTCTCTGGTGATACTGAAAAAATGAATACAATGACATTAATTCAATGGGGAACGACAGTTACTGACAACCGACAGCTGTGAAAAAGGCAATTTCAAAATCTCACTTGTCCTTCTCCTCTTGTGGGACACTAAAGGCAAAAGGTCATGGCGGGTGAGGACTCTCAGCAGTTGCAGCAGAGGTTCCAGGTTTCCATCACAAAGGTATCCTCTCCTCTCAAGTTCTAGCAAAAGCTCTATGCCACTCTTAGGCCTTAAGTCCACCAAGGGCTGCCCAGATTCTGTAGGCTGTAACCTCCTCCATGCTTTAAGCAGTTGTGGACTTGGGGTCACACCCGTGTCTTCTGGATTGTCCTCAGCAGCTTCAACTGTCCAGCCTGAAGGGTCAAGAGGGTGTTGTGCAGTGTAGGTTTCATTCAAAAGGAAAGACAGAACTTCAATGTCAGTCTCTGTCAGCTGACATCCCACTACTTCAAAGATCTCATGGAGAGACAACATCCCATAGTAGTTTAGGCACTCTGTATCATCCCAGTAGAGTGATTCCCTGATTGTGTTCCCTAGGCGATGCTTGGCAGCCATGATCAGGATTTGACTGAAGCCTTTTCCAAGTTCCCTTCTCTGGCCCTTTCCACCCAACCTCCTCTGCTGGATCTTTCTGTGTTAAAATTGACAAAAACGTTAGCAAAAACATATCTTTGACCCATGAAATAGGACATTTTAAAGAGAAATCTGACCACATGAGCCCTACAGATCGCATTAAAACAAACAACTGTTGTTCCAGAGGTTTTTTAGCCCATAATTGATCTTAGTTTAAATGATTTGTTGCACCGGCATTGCTTTCGTTTCTTATGGGTTAAAAAATTAAATCCATTAACTCAAAATGCAATGCTAAAATGTCTTAATACAGTTACAGAATCCAAAAGCTTAGTTGTAGGGATTTTATTATTTGTCAAATAAAACCAGTAAAAAATGCTGTGTAGTATAGCAATTAATGAACATTGATGTACAGGTATTTCCTTAGACTAGTAGGCAGTGTCCTAATTTAACAAATACTGCTCAATATTGACGCCCCTACACGACGTAGCTTCCTCAATTATTTATGTGGTATTTTCTTATTTTCTTAAACGGTCAGCCTACAAACAACAAATGGTGATGAAACCCACGACTAAATTAAATCAAGCTGCCTGTGCTATTTAGCACACAGCTAATGTTAATGGTTCGCTTGCCCCAGTGGTCGACGCCTTTTTCAAGGCCTATTTGGAAAAGCTTAGCAAACCTACCAATTATCGTCTTCAGCTCGACAATGCCTTGGCACAATACAAAGTGGCAACTGTGAAAGTGGTATTTTGTCTTCAAGTCAAACGTGAACAAAACCAGGTGGAAGTCAATGATATGAGCTGTTTGTTTGACGCCAAGCAGCGATTCTGACTTTACGTAACCAGTCGCGTTTCTCTGAAGGGAAAAAAGAAAACAAACAAAAAGAGAAAAACAAAAGACATAGACGTTAAAAATCTGTAGACAGCTGTAAAGCCGACCACACAAACTGAAGCTGACAATGCAAGCTGTGCTGAGACGTTTGGGAACAGACACACCGTTTACAATAGCACAACATCTGCAAATACAGAGCGTGTTTTTGCGACAGCGAACATCGCTAGCGGAACAATAACGTTCCCTTGGGATAAGTATTAAAAGGCCTTCATAACGCCAATAAATCATATAATGAGATTATCTGAATAAGAACCTAATTACAGACATGCGATAGCTGTATTTAGGAAAATACTGTAACTCATCGCAACTCACCTCCAAATACAATTTCCTCTCTAACGATGGTTGATCTAGCAACTTCGACAGTGCCTCGTGACTTGTGACAACTGTCCGACAACGCTGGGAAATTGACCAATCACAACCTTCCGACATACTGGATGACGTAACGTCACGTTTTTTCGTCACTGATCTGCAGTCAGTTTTCTTCAGGGAAACTCTGTAGTTAGAGGCACAACAGCTGATAGACAACCGATCCCAAGGCTGTTCTTTTTGCCTTGTTGTCCTGGCGATAAGGCCGGTCTTCGTGAGACAAAATAACGAATAGCAACGAAAAACAAGCGTTAGCCTCCTGAAAAACTGTACTCAAACTCTTAATGCGAACATAAATAAATAATCATCATTGTGAACTGCTGGCTGACGTGTACGTTATAGTAAGACGTAAATGATACGGCCAGTAGGTGGCGTTATTTGTCACTGCTGTAATAGGAAGTTTTCTCCCTTTACGGCCACATCACATCCGTAAAGAAGAAGCAACAAAAGAATTGGGTCTTTTTTTTTTAAATAAAACTCCACCAGTGAGTATCCAGCTTTGTTTAAACGGTTAGATTTGACGCTCCAGATAGGTTAGATAGTTTTCTGTCTGTTAGTTTGAAATCGAGATTTAAAGTTGAAATAATCTATTAGCTTGGGCATAAACATTAGCGGAGAAGCGCTATATGATAGTATTTTAACATAAAGATTTGTCTTTGAATCCTCACATTTAGAATGTATATCCAAGTATCTATGTTACAAACGTTGAATATTTTAAGAAATGCACACACCCTGCTGTCTTCTAGTTAGAATAAACCGTGTGTTCTGTTTGTTTGTCGATGTGGCAGCGACCAAGCCTCACGGTGACTAAAATGTTCCACTGTTCCAACCCTGCACTGTTGCCATATTTCTAAACTAGTGTAATAGTTAAATAGAATGTCCCCACAATACATAACGTCTGTCCCGTGATTATTCGTTCCCCTGAAGATAGCCGGCTATGAACCTTGGCTAAATATGAGGCTGTGAAAGGGAATGGTGATCTCACGTTTAATTTTATTTTTTTAATTAAGGTTGCTTTCAGCACAAAGTCTGACAGATGCCATCCGGAGCACCAAAGGGGGAGAACTGTGTCTTGGACATGGACAGCAAAGCTGGAGATCTGTTCAGTGCTGAAGATGCTCATCCAACTGGCACAGGTGGAGCTGGAGTGCTGTCAAAGTATGATTTTTTTTTTTTTTTTTTAGGTGTCACAGACAGCAAAAACCACAACAGATCTTCTATTATTATTTGTCATCTTGTCCGAAAAACTTATTTTTTTATTCTTGCCTCTTAATAGGCTATGGCTGCCCAAAGGCTTCTCGGCCAGCGTGGCGAAAGAGTGGATCGACAGGCGTCGGGTGTCCATTCGACCATGGGCTAGCTTTGTAGACCAGCGCAAGTTTTCAAAACCTCGCAACTTTGGAGAGTTGTGTCAGAGGGTGGTGAAAAATGTGGAAGTTTACAACAGCAACTACACCTTCATCTTTCTGGGTCTCATCCTCTACTGCATGTAAGAGATCGATTATTTATTTGTCTTCCTTTTAGTAAGAATTCTAACGGCTACATTCAGCTCCTTACTCATTTCGTCTCTACTGATCATACATGAGGGTGTTATTAAAAAGATTTGAAAAATACCACAATGATTTGTTTTTTTGTGTGTTTTTGCTCACTAGAATCAGCTCGCCGATGCTTCTGATTGCTCTGGCTGTGTTTGCTGGCGCTTTCTACATTATCCACCTCAAGTCTCTGGAGTCCAAACTGGTCGTTCTTGGTTAGTGATCTTGATTGAAATTAATCTTTGTGTTTGTGTGTACTGTTACTACTTTATTTGAATATTAATTGAGAGTTTATATCTTATAAAGGTACAAAAATAGAGTAAAATACACATCAAGACCTCGTCAGAAAATAAAATATGTGATAAAGGATGAAGCAACACTTAATTTTTTGTATTTTGGTTTATGATTTATCATATTTGCAATTTCTCATTATACAGGTAAAGAGCTAGCTCTCCCTCACCAGATGGGTCTGGCTGGAGCCGTCTCTCTTCCTGTGTTCTGGTTGGCTGGAGCTGGAGCAGCTGTGTTTTGGGTTCTTGGTAAATTAAGCCACATTAGTTCATCTTGGTCGGGATTATTGTTTTTCTGGGCCTGTAAATAGCTTTTGAAGCATCAGTTACTCTCCTCCTGCTCTTATGATATAAATGTAGTTTTATATTTTCCTTTATAGTCAATAAGTGTAAGACATTGAAACAGCAGTAATATAAATGTGGTGCTAGATAAAGGTGTGATGCTCTTGCTTCAATCTATTTTTCACACTTGTCTTCTCTCCCTCCAGGAGCAACACTGTTTGTGATTGGCTCTCATGCTGCATTCCGTGAACTGGAAGGATCTGACTTGGAGGAACTCCTCATGGAGCCTGTGTAGACAACGAACTCATAGCAGGTGATGGACAATGATCAGTCATTTCTTGACCCTGTAATTGTTTCAGCACAGAAGGATTGGGGAAACTACTGTTCTGCGCCCGCTCCTTTTGCAAAACCTGTATACTGTTTTCCCTGTATTTTACCAATATCATTGTATCAATAATGCACCTTGACCTGCCTCATAAACTATCATTGAACATAACATCATATGCACAAATAATTCATTTTTAGTGTGTCTGATAGCACATAACTGTCAGATTTCATGCCTTTATCTACATATTTTAAACCTATGATGCCTCTGGCTTGTGTAATAGAGCATCTTGTTGAGGCTCTTATTTAATGACTTGCTCTTTGCCTGTTAATGAAGCGTCTGTGCTATTCTTGTGAGAAGGGATTCTGGTTGGCAGGGATATACGGTTACCTGTAATTTTCACTCCATTACTGATTAGTTTTTTCCAAAGGTGAAGTGCCAAGCTTTAAAATGATGCCTGATGATCGTGGAAAATAGCCTTTTTCTATCTCACTGAATTCAAAATCCTGTTTTAGTAATTAAGATAAGCTTTTAGATAAATTGACTAGAAGATGTCAGGAAAGGTCAGTACTTAATCATGGTATTTTGTGTGTAGGGACATAATTTGCTGATTACATGTATATTTATCAGCTTTTCTTGGAAAGTTCAGGTCACAACATGAAATATGTTTCTGAATTTCATAATTTGTCGACATTTTCATGTAAGTTGGGTATTTTGTATTTAGTTTTTCAATGTGCAATAAACCCCAAATTAAAACGTGATACTTTTGAGGTCTTATTTGAATAATAATTATTCACTTAATAATGCTTGCGATGTCTGTTTGTACATTGACAGTAGTTTAATTTCATTCAGTGGCGTCCAGCACCTACCCAATATATTTTTAGTAATTCCTGTTCAGTCCAAACACACAGTGGACTGAGAGCCTCTTGTGGTTCCTGTTCTGTGTGCCGCACACCAAACAGCAGCGCTCACTCGCCCCCTCCTGTCCCCCCGTTATCCCCCTCCTCATGTGACCCCGGTGACCTGTGCTCTGTGACAGCACAGTGAGAGGACCCCGTGCTCAGGTTGCCATGGCAATGACCTTGAAGGGCCCCAGTCAGGCGCACAACCGTCCACAAGAACACTCGCTTACACACTGCGGCAAAGGCAGGCGATCGATATTCTATTATACGTAGGGGGGAAGGAGGGGGTGGGGGAGAGTCGCACTGCAGTGAACTCACTGCAGAGACACGGGGGAAATTAGAACAAGGGTGAGACCGAGAGGGTGTTTGTCAGTGAGTGACAGAAGGTGGGGTGTGCGTTTGCATGAGCAGTGCATTTATCATTGGACAGTGGTCACAGACAGGTTTTGTATTTCTCAAAAGGACATATCCCAATTTTTTCTTCTTCCTGGAATTGGCTTCAGATCATACCAGATCCGTATCTGTTAGATTAAAGAGTGCCATACTATGTATAATTTGTTCTATTTCTGTCTGAGGCGGGCAGGAATAAGTTAATTTAAAATAGATGACCCTTGAGAGCTGGCACAATTACTGACTGCTCAGTTTGCAGGGATGTGACTTCTTTCATTTTGATAACCGAGGAGGTTATTACCCCTTTTCAGATACATGTTCGTTTCCGTAGAAATTCAATGACTTTTGTGGAAGATTGCTCCCTCTGCAGGTCTGTCCTGTTGTCTGTCATTCTCAACCTGGAAGTCATTTGTGCTGATGTCAGACAAGGCTGACATTTACTGCATACAAGGTGGTTTGGTGCATTACCCTGGGCTCCTGCCAACCCCCACCCCCACCCCCATAGCAGCTCATGCAGTTTGCCAGCTAGCGTGCACATATATTTGTAACACTTAGTGGCATCTAATGCTAAAATTCCTTCCCAGTCATTTCTGCTGTTTTATGCTTCTCTTTTACAACTATGGTCATTTAGAGCTTTTATCATTGTGCAGCTTTTATTATTTCTAAAAGGCTTTAACTTAGCAAATATAAAGTTGAAACAGATTAGAAGAGACAAATTGCTTATTGCATTATGTTATATTTGATTTATCTATAAGTAATGAGTGATATTTGATAATGGTGAACTTTTAGGTGTAAGTAAAAACAAGAGGCAAGCTAATCCTGGTATAAAAACCAAAGAAAGTGACACACAAACAGGTCTGGGTTGTATTAAATGTTCTAGATGTTTTATTGGTGTTGGTTTCATTTATTTGACACACACATTTTCCTCTAGTTGTGTATTTTTCTTCAATCTCAACCCTTTCAGCCATTTGAGATGGACCAAGCTGAGACTGTTGGCCCTTCACTGGTTTCCAAAACATACAAGCACACCGACCTGGGTCGGACTGATCAATATCAGGACCGGACATGAATCCGATCGGGTAATAGACCTCAGGCACACGGACTCAATTGTCACCACATCACAGCACACTTCACCACATCATACCTGCACACATGTAGTGACAGGAACCTGAAGCCTTTTGGTAAAAACACAACCTGACACCCTGCTTTGCTGTTACACTATAGAGTAGCCTCCTGAGAAACCAGCAAAAATAACTGAAACCAAATTAAATACAAAAAGAGAGACAGATATCCTCACTTTTTTGATCTCACCAATATTGTTAATGGTCTTCATGAATGTCTCTCTTGCATTGTTTTTCAGCATGTTTTTTATTGTTTCATTTAAACTCAGTATAGAATTATATAGATTTCCTAGAGCACACAGAAAGTTTGAGTGGTCTTTACCAACTTTGGGGTAGGGGATGTACTGTAATAGTTATTAACAAGGACAATGGTTCACACTGTGCACACAAACGGAGACGGACGGGGTAGGAGGGAAGGGAGAGGAGGAGTGTGAGAGATGGGGCAGGGAGGGGGAAGAGGATGCCATGGGGTGTGCTTTGTTAAGCCTAAATGACGGAAAGCAGCTCTCACACACCTTCTCTCCCAGATCAGAAATAAAAAAGAAAAATAAAGTCATCGAAAAAACCGCTTTCCCACCCCACCCCACATATTAAAAAACAACAACACTGTGGCTGTCGAGAACAGAAGAGAAGGAAAATGGACGCAGTGAGAACGTCAGAGAGATGACCACTCTGCTGGTCCTCCGCAAACAGGAGACAGGCGAGAGGTGGCAGTCGAAGTGGTGTCGGCGGTGGGATCACACTGTGTGACCTTATATCTGTGTGTGATTTGAGGACAAGCAAAGGGTTGGTGGGGAGGGAAAGGAGAGGGAAACAGAGGTACACAGAAAGACACCAGGGAGAGGGCAGGGAGGAAAAGAAGCTGGATGGCCCTTTTTTGCCGAGCATAGACACTCCCCTTTGTATCTTTAGCTCATTCGAATCTACATACACAATATGCAGCTGCCGTTTCGTAGATATATTGGTTTAAGTACACAGCAGTGAGAGAACACATGCAAAGAGTATCATAGGAGATGGGGGGAGAAGGGGCAGTTCAGTGTACAAAGTTGTAAAGGTGCTTTTGCTGTTTTTAATCTTTGGGGCAGTTGTGATGAAAATTGCTTCAAAGCGGTTTTTGTCTTTAAAGGGGAGGGGAGGGGCATTTGGAGATGTGTCTTGCCAAGGATGGAGTGACGGGGGAGAAATGAGTGGAAGATGTAAGGAACTTGAGCAAAGGTGCTCCATTGATCAATAGTAGGTCTCCCTTTCCACCCAACCTGGAGGGCAAATGAAAAGGACAGAGTTCATGTTATTTTAAAAAGCATTTTTGGTATTTTGAGATTTATACCTAGTGTTATTTATTCATAAAATTAGACAAAGAGATTGAAACCACTAATATATCTGCTATTTCAGATGCTTCCAATCAAAAACAAAATACAAAAACACACTCACCCCCAGGGTTCCGGCGGATGAGAAGTTTTCGTATTTCATCATAAACAAAGATGAGAAAACTATAGGGGAATGCGCAAAACCACCAGGTAGGCCTGTGGACAAGACAATGAAAATAGGTTAAAAGAAAACAGACAACTTGTTTTAAAACGTGTAATTATAGTGTGCCTGTTACTGACACCTACTTTAGTGGATACATCCTGAGTGCCACGTCCATGCCCGGGCAGTAGGACAGGAAAGCAGCCAGGGCTGTCTCCTCAAACAAGCCAAAGATCAAGATCTTGTTCCTGTGTTGAAAAACACAACCAATGTTGATGAGGAGAATTCATAGTGCAGAAACTTTGATATGAGTCAGAAAGTCTGGATCCTGTTTATGCTGTCATTAGTAAAATGTAATCGTTTTGATGCCACAGGAGAGTGTACAGACTGAAAAGAGAAACCCAAGCACTTGTGTCCCACTGTGATTGTGCCACTCACTTCATGCCCTGCTGGAACACAGAGTTGCGCCTGGTCTTGCAGATGATGACATCAGCCCACTGCACTACTACAATACTGACAAAGAAGGCTGTGTGACATGTAAACTCCACAATCTTCCTCTGTTCATATGTCTGCGGAGGAAACAAATAAAGAAAAAAACATTTTAAAAAAACATAGAGCCAAGTGACAAAACCTAAACACAAACACAACAGCTCACTTCAAACGAGCACAGGGTACTACACTCTTACCCATTGCTGCCCATAGCTGTCCTCCAGGTCATTGAGAGAACGATCATCCCAGTTGAGCCTAATGCCCACTAGATGACTTGGCAGGAATCCATTTTCAGCCAAGATGACAAAATAAGCGAAGAAGCCTCCCAGAGCCTGGATCATACCTTAAGACACACATACAGAGACACGTTATAGATTTCAGTCTGAAGATAATACAGACACTCATCTGGTCTGTGTTCCCTAGCTGAAGCTGATTTTTAACACAAAAATATCTTTCATGCAGTCTAGATCAAACCTAAATCAAGATAAATACACATTAAAGGACATTTCACTGCCTAACTCAATGGTCCCGGTCTTTAAGTCACCCACCAATTTGTCCATAAGCAATGCTGATGAGCCTCTCATTCACCAGCTTGTCCCTGAATGGGTTCCTGGGTTGACGCTTCATGATATCGCTCTCAGCTGCTTCATAAGCCAGAGAGATGGCTGGAACCTGGGGGAAGAAAAAAGGTGAGCGTTTAATACAGTACAGCCAGATTAGGCTTTATTTGTGATGTCAGAATGAGTTCAATCGGTCGCTTACCATGTCAGTTCCCAAGTCAATACAGAGGATGGTGATTGTACCCAGAGGCAGAGGGATATTGACAATGATGAAGAACAGGAAGGGGGTGATCTCTGGGATGTTGCTAGTCAAGGTGTAGGCGATGGATTTCTTAAGGTTATCAAAGATCAAGCGACCTAAAAGGTAAAAACATAGAGGTCATACAAAACAAAAAGGTTGGACTGGAGCTTCATTGACATAATACTAATTCAATTTCATCTTAAAAAACAAACAAACTTTTTAGCCCTTAGTCCAGCCTGTTCATCAAATCTTTATTACAATATTGCTAAATTGTTATATAATAGATTCTATTGATGGAAATGTCCACAGCCTTCCAGTTCTGCCCCTCAGCTCTTCTCACCTTCTTCCACTCCAGTGACAATAGAAGCAAAGTTGTCATCCAATAAGATCATGTCTGCAGCCTGTTTGGACACATCGGAGCCTGAGATTCCCATGGCAACACCGATGTCAGCCTTTTTCAGTGCAGGGGAGTCATTCACACCATCACCTGTCACAGCGACAATGGCACCCTGGGAGAAATGAGAGAGGGATGAGAACCAACAGCAAAATGACTACTTTAAAGGATGCATTTACCAAACATATTCATTTAGCAAGGTTATTGTGATTTATAGATATATTTAATCTGAAACGACATATTGAATGTGCTCCAATATAGTTTTATTCCAAAATAACTTTAAAATGGTACAAGTATAAATCAATAGAAATTTCACAAGCTACATTTTTTCCTTACATTTTAAACAGAAGAGTCAAATTTGAACAAATGCTGAAAGTATTCACCAGGTTTTTTATTTTTTCATCAAAATGTGGAAGAAATTAATTATAGTCATTTTACGTTTCAAATGCAATTTAACAATGTCAGACAGCCATTTGGTACATCCATCGTTCACGTGATCTGGGTCTGCATTAGATGGATAACTACCGCCATCTGCTGGCGGTAAAGCATATTGTTCCTAAATGGGTGGCATGAAGCGCCATCGTTCTCTCAAGCCTGTTAATCAAGATAAAATAGAAAATGTTCCAACCAGTCGCTGGCATCCCTCCACAATGATGAGTTTCTGCTGTGGGGATGTCCTGGCAAATACAATCTCTGTATGATTCCTCAGGATGTCATCGATCTGATCTTGAGATAGATCCTTCAGGTCTGTGCCATGAATCACACAGGCTTTGGCATCCCTGCATTTAAAAGAGCAACACTTAAAAGGTCTGTCTCTTTTCCCTTAGGTGTGAACATATTTCTTTTGACTGTTTTCATCTGTACCTTGGGTTGACCTGGCTGACAGGAATGTTAAGACGAGCAGCAATGTCCTCCACTGTCTCGTTGCCCTCAGAGATGATACCCACTCCCTTTGCAATGGCCTTGGCTGTGATTGGATGATCACCAGTCACCATAATGACCTGTAAAAGCAATAAAATAAAACACATTAAAAAAAACGATCTCCCCTGCCTTTAAAACCTGTGATCGCACACATCTTTCTGAAAAGGCTCACCTTGATACCAGCAGATCGGCATTTCCCAACAGCATCAGGGACAGCAGCTCGAGGAGGGTCAATCATGGATATGAGGCCCACAAAACAAAGGTTGTCTGTCTGAAAGTTAACGTCTTCTGTGTCAAAGGCAAAGCCTTTGGGATACTGGTCTTCTGGCAGGAGCAAGTGGCAGAAACCTGGAGAGGAGGCAATTTTTGACTTAGTGGTTGATCTGAGAAGATTGGAATATGTTCCTCTGACATCCCTTTTACTATAATTTAAAAAAAGGAGGAATAATGCAAAAAAAATACATGTATGGCTTTGTTTTACTTGGTCTATCCATCTTAATAAGCTAGGCTAAGTCTACTTTATACTTTGATTTTATTCCTAGTTCCACCCTTGTTTTTATTTAATGCTGGAAACCATTCTAAAACTCTTATCTTACCCAGCACTCTCTCTCCAAGACCTCCCAGCTCCATGTAAGCACTGTTGAAGGCCTCCTTCATCTCCTCATCCATAGGTTGCTCTTTGCCCTGCAGCAAAATGGTTGAACAACGGTCCAGGATCCTCTCAGGGGCCCCCTTCATGACCAGCAGGTAACGGTTGTCATTGGGATCCTCTGTCTCATGCACTGATAACTGGAATTGGAGAACATAGATTATAGTTAACCCTCTATGTAAGATTTGTTGAAATCAATGGTGCTTTCAAGACATGTCTGCTCTAGGTTCAATTTTAATATTACTTACCTGGTATTTGTTGGTGGAGTTGAAGGGGATCTCAGCCACTTTCTTGTTCCTGTCCCTCATCGCCCGTACTGAGCCACAGCACAGCTCGATACATTTGAGCAGAGCTGACTCTGAGGCGTCACCGGCAACGTCTCGTTTCAAGATGGTTATGGCGTCTTGTCCCGCTTTGAACTGCGCACGGTTGCACAAAGCAGCAATGCGCGATAGACCCTGCCATGTCAATGAGCTCTTGTCGAAAGAGGCACCTGCAGAAAGACATAAAACGGAGTGTGCGGTCACATTTTGAACTTTCATTTTTGGAACGTATGATATTTTCTAGGAAAGCTTGATAGAGAAAGAGGGCAGGGAGAGAAAGCAGGGTGATGTGCAGCATAAGTTCCTGAGCAACTTCCTGAGCCCAGAACAGCTGCCAGAGGAAATTCATCATCTGTATAGAGGGGAAACTACTCAACCAGCTCCCTTACTCCCTCTTCTCTTACGACTATAACATGTTTCAGAGATCAGCGGTGCAAATGCAGTGTGCCTTTTCCTCACTAACCTGACTGGTCCTCGGTGGTGTCAGCTTCATGGATCTGGTTGTCAAACCACATATGGGCCACAGTCATCCTGTTCTGGGTCAGGGTGCCTGTTTTGTCAGAGCAGATGGTGGAGGTGGAGCCCAGGGTTTCCACAGCTTCCAAGTTCTTTACCAGGCAGTTCTTCTTAGCCATACGCTTGGCAGTCAGAGTCAGACATACCTGAGGACACATATTTATGAAGTTGATAGCTGTTCTAATATTGTATATTTGCATAATGCTATAAAAACTGAGCTCCTAGCAATATTTACCATAAATTCAATCATTGCTCATTGTATTGTTTTACAGAAACAATGTTCCTTCATGGTAGAAGAAAAAAAAACTTGGAAGATTAAGCTAAGTAACAAAAGCAAATGAAAAATATAATGATAAGCAATCAGGGAGAAGCTTATTATGAATAATTGTCCCACTTACAGTGACCGTGGCCAGCAGACCCTCGGGCACGTTAGCAACAATGATGCCAATAAGGAAGATGACAGCCTCCAGCCAGGTGTAACCCAGGATGATGGCCAAGATGAAAAATGTGACTCCCAGAAAGACAGCCACACCTGTGATGATGTGGATGAAATGCTCGATCTCCTTTGCAATGGGTGTTTTGCCAGTGTCCAGGCCGGAAGCCAGAGTGGCAATGCGACCCATAACTGTGCGGTCTCCAGTATAGATGACAATTCCACGAGCTGTGCCTGGTTAGGAAAACAAAAGAAACATTTCATGAATCTAAGGTTGTGTAATTTCTTTCTTTTTCTTTATGCTTAATAAGTTTTTCTTCCTAACTAAAGGGAAGGTTAAAGTTATGAATATTGCCTATACCGTTTATTAACTTTTGGTTTTTTGGTTTGAATCTCCACATGAAAAGACAAGTTAACAATAGCACATAACACAATTGCCATGGTGACAATACCTTCAACACAGTTGGTGGAGAAGAAAGCAACATTTCGGGTCTCCAAGGGGTTGTCATGGGTACAGTCGGGTGACCTGCTCTGAGGTTCTGATTCTCCTGTCAAAGAGGAGTTATCCACCTATTTGGAGACACATAAGTAAAACGTCACTGCGTTTAATTTCAAAGCTTGTATGTATGAGCTGTCAATGGAAATCTAATTCAGCCCCTGTTGTTAACTAAGAGCTGATAACACTGATCTAATAATGCCTTTTGGTTCATCCTCATGAGCAAACAACATGGTGAAATCCATAAAGAATTGTTTATGCTACAGCTTTGCGTGGGTGTACCTTGCAGCCATGAGCTGAAACCACCCTGATGTCAGCAGGGATCCGGTCTCCTCCCTTCACTTCAATCAAATCTCCGGCCACCACTTCTTCAGCGTTTATCTGCACTTTCTCGCCCTCACGGATCACCAGTGCTTGCTGTGTGGACACATCATGAATGCATTACAGGATGCAGGAAAGATATTTTTATGCCGTCATACCAGAAGGTTTTCCTGTTGGAAGGTTTTGGTTGTTTGCTTTGATTAGATAAACATTAATTTTTCATTATATTTGAGACATTTAAACTCAAACTTAGATGTAAACAGGAAAAGGAAATAAGTGTTTCTCTTTTCTTTGTTTAAACCATGAATCAAATGTTGATGTCTACCACATGCTTCCAAATATCCTACAGATATGAACTGTAAAGCCTTTACAGTATTGTTCAAAGACTGACAGAGGAACATTGACATAAGGTGCCTGCTATTTGTTAGGGTCTAGCAATATGTTTACCTGAGGCACCATGTTCTTAAAAGACTCCATGATTTTGGAGCTCTTGGCCTCCTGGAAGTACGAGAAGCAGCCGGTGATGACGACGACAGCAGTGAGCACGATACCGAGGTACAGCTGGGGGGTGAAAACAGAAGAAGAATTCAATATATGTGAGTGTGGACAGAGGGAGGGCAGGTGACTCTTGAATACCTTTGCCAAGCTGTTGTTTATGAAAAATCTCAGAGTCCTATGTGTGTCTGATGTGTCAATGAGGCGTAAATGGACCAGATGTGAACTTATTTATGGAAATGCTGTGTGACAAATTGAGTGTGAGTTGCTCACATTGTCGCCTGCAGGGTCGTCCTCAGTGGCTGCTTGGATGGCATAGGCCAGAAAGCAAAGAATGGCACCAAGCCACAGCAGGACGGAAAATCCACCAAACAGCTGGCGACAGAACTTGACCCACTCTGGGGTGGTGGGTGGAGGGGTGAGAGCATTGGGACCATCCCGGATCAAAAACTCTGCTGCCTTAGCATTGGTCAATCCCTGGACAGAAGAAAGAGGCACAAATGTTTGCAGGGAGGTTAAGTAAAAATATATTTGTTTAAACTTTAAACTCATATTTCTGTGGTATGACGTTGAGGTTTAGCTACTGCTGTGCCTGAAATTCTGCAAGAAGCACACTGGTGCCACCTGGTGTCAAACTGAGAAAAAGCTCACCTGGACAATGTCAGTTTGTAATTTCCTGGACACTTCCTCAATGGACATCTTATGTTCTGTCTGTAAAAAACAAACAAAACAACAGAAAATGAGCAAGGGGAAAAAAACTACATGAATCCTTCATCTAGATATCAGTTTTTTTCTAACTTTCTTTGCATGCAATGTTGTCTAGAAAAAAAGCTTTAAAAAATCCAAAGTTTTATTCTATAGTCAAGAAGAAAATAGTCATATTAATAGTTATTTATCAACTACAGGCATGCAGTTCACCTGAGAGGTTAGAGTGTTAGGGCAGCAAGGTATAGCCACCCTGGTGTTTCTTGCGCTGAAAGTTGGGATTTAACTCATGACCTGTTAACGCTTTGACTCCTCTTACAGGCAAAAATAGATTATTTCGACCGGTATGACAAAAATTCTCCTTGTAAAAAAAAATATATATATATATATATATATATTGTATTATCTTGGAAATGGCGGTTAAATAAATTAAAATCTGTGGAAGCATAAAAGGACAAAAACAGTGATGAAACTGTGCCAGAACAAATAAGTTGGTACTTACAATGGGCACTTCCTTCTTCAGGTCCTCCATGTCCCTGGTCCCCCCCTTCTTCTTCTTGGGGGATCGGTCATCCTTGTCCTGTGTGGTGGCAACGCGGTAACTGTCTGACCGCCCATACTACAGACACACACACATGTTTTATACATGCCCTCCGACTAGAGATAGCAGCCTGTGTGCCTTTGTGGATAATTTTAGCTGTTCTTTCGTTGTAATTATGAATTAAACACTATACTGTGATTCGGTTCCATTCTGTTCTAAAGGCTGGCTAGCCTCCACTTACATAGACTTTATCAGAAACAAAGCCCGTGGGATTTAATGAACACCTAATTCTATGTTTCACTACACAGTGAGTCATGCCATAGCCCTTGTGAAGTGGCCTTGTGAGGTTGGTAGCATTTCTCAGGAGTTACTAACACCAATTATTCTCAGTTTATGAGGCAGCTGTTCCATAAAAAGCACTCATATAAAAAACTGTTATTACAGGACGTCTTGAAGAGATGATGTCTTTTTTTTTCCCTTTTCGCTTGAACAAACAGCCATGGCACCACGAGTCCAATAATGTGACGCATCAAAGCCTAAACCTGCCGCCTGTTCTGCCAGACTCATCAGATCTCCTCTGATCAAACAACTCGCCCCACTGAGCACACAACCTGATGGACACATCAAAACATAATCGAGTGGAAATGGTTTAACTTGCAGGTTTAAACTAATTGCTTCCTGCTCGTTTTCATTCAATCATAAAGCGGCCAGCATGAATAACATCAGAGAGATGGAACAGGAGGATTGAGTTTACACGGCGATCAAAGGGTTTCATCCCGGATTCTTGTATGTTCTATAATATGAGAACAGAAACATATGGGACACTTTGATGCTAAGATTACTGAGAATGAAACCAGACGTTTGCACAGACACATCAGAATTAATAATTGTGATGTTCCCCCGCACTGCACCTTCTATTGCTACTCAGTCTATAACTGTAACCAGCCTGCTGTCCGGCAGGAGAGCAGAAAGACCAATGGACCACATCAATACAAATGTGCCTCATCAAAGGTCAGAGGTGATATGGAGAGACACTAATGTTCCCCTGGAGGTGTAAGAAGGTCCCAGTAGACATGAACTTAACAACCTGATCATAACAGAATAGTAGATCAATACAATGCTGGGTCCAAGGGTTTAAAAAATTTGATGGAAGAATGGAGGAGCACCCAGCAGGTTTTATTGCCGCTCAATTTGACTTCGATGGAGAAATAAAAATTTACCATATTATACTCAGTAAGTGCAAAAACATATTTTCTTAACAGTTAAAAGATCAAAATATCATCTTAAAGGTAACAATATTATTTATATTCTTCGTTTGAAGACCTCTGAATTTACTGGAGCTCCCTCTAGTGTTACTGTTAGGGGATAAATGTTACCAACAGACTTGTACTTGACTGACTTGTGGGCATCTGATAATGTAGATGCAAACTTAAAAGGAACTGTTTTCTAGAAGAGATATTAAAAGTATGCTTACTTAAAAAGGAGTGGGTCATTTGTCTAAGATATTTACAAAAGCAGATAGTGAGGACTCATGTCCTGTGTTCTCCACTTAAGTTGATGGGCACACCCACCCGCACCACACCAAGACATACACACATGAAGTGCCTCAAAAAGATAAACTTGCCCCTGCTTTTCCCATTGGAGCTATGCTTTTCATGTTGTGTTGAAATCGCTTTCTTGTCCGTTAAAAGACCTGTCTTTCTGGTTTAGGCGTATATGAAAAGTGGAGTCCTGGTTGCCCAACGACCACTTCTAAGCTTAAATTAAACAATCAGATAGTTTGTTTGAGCTTGTCGGGGAGAGTGTGGCACGTTACGGAGTCATTCGACCCAACAGCAAATACAAACGCACTCGTATGCAAAGACAGAGTTCAGCAACAAAAGAGCAGGTGAGCAAATGTGTTGCGGCAGCAAGATTGGGCAAGCCTGGTGAGGTAGATGCTGCATGGAGGGGAGGCTCATGCAGTGGAAAAGTACTGCTGCTGATCTCCTCTGAGACAGACCCTTAGTGTGTGCATGTGTGTCTAAAAATACAAAGGGGTGTGTGGGGGAGTGCTGGTGTACACTTGGGTATATGTGTAATTTAAGTCCTATTTTACGCATGTGAGCTGTCTTTATATCTCTAAGATCAAAGGAGTTGGGCAAGATTCAGTCGTTTATACTGAGGGGTGTGTGTTTCTGCTGCATTTTGGTTGTGACTAATTTTGTGAAATTTACAGAACACCACAAACACATCCTGCAATGTAGAAATATTACCGGTTAAAGTAATGACACAAAGAGAAAATGGGGAAATAAAAAATGTGTCCCCTTTATTTTTGCACAAGCACACACAAAGAGACGGGCTCAGACGATAGAAGTGGCTGGTAGGGAGGTGGAGACGAGTGGCAAACAAAGAGGAAAGTGGTGAAAAGCAAAGACGAGGAGAGATGGATGTGACGGGGGTGGATGACAGACAAGATTGGGCACACGGAAAGGCAGACATCGGTGGGAGGTGAGATGTGAGGACAGACAGAAAGGCAGGTGGAGAAAGGATCAGAGAGGGAGGAAGTGAGTTGGGGGGGTGTACTCCTTCTCCTCTTAGGTGTTTAATTAGAAATTGACCTTCGGTCATTTGACCCACAGCGAGCACACAGTTAGTCTCTCCTCTTATAATAATAAATCATTATTTTCTGTCTAGGTGTGCGCATGTCTTTTAGAGTTTGTTTGTTCACAGATACGAATGAGTGAGTATTTTCAGCGTGACTCATAGAGATAGGGGATGCCGCCAGCTTATCCTAGTCAGTTAACAGTAGCTTGAGTATGTTAATTGCATACCTATTTTGGCTTTGTTTATAACACTGTGTTTGCCACTCAGTCATTAATAACGGAAAGAGTAGGCAGCAAATGATAAGATATCTTCCTTACACCTAATTGTAACACTCTCTAATATGGGTTAAACCAGACAACAAATGTGTCCCTTTTTGTCCAAATTCGGTGCCTATACCATCTAACATGCCTGTGTGAGCCTATGAGGGTATCAGGGCTTCTCACACATCTTTGGGTGGGGTGGGGGGTTGGGGAATTCAATCCCCCCTCCACCCCCTTTTTTTTCAGGGAAAGGAAATAGAGACTTCTGGCTGAAATTACAGACACCCACATCCCACAAGCTCACAGAATAACAGAGTGATGGACAGACTTATCTCTGACATCATTAGGAAATGGAAAAATCTCATGCCCCTTCATAGCTTACATAGTGTAATCACCCAAATTCTGGGACATTTTGGCTCATTAAAAAGTGCTTAAAATATCAATAATTTGGTGAGGGCAGTGCTTCATGTGTTTAATTTAATCAGAAATTCTTCTGCTGGCCTGTTTCGGCTAACAACCCAAAACCTCGCAAATTACCCACATGTGAACAACACTGATAAGTGAATATGTTAGGAGGGCAAGTTACCATGGTGACTTGCATGGCCACTGGCATGATGACCAAACTCAGCAGTGGCCTAGTACTGTGAAGATCCCCTGATGTGATCCAGGATAAGGAATAATTGATGCATCTGTAACTGGACACTATGTTCACTGCTGTTAGGCACAATTGATTCAAGGAACTGGTTTGTGTGTGCTAATGTCTGTGAGAGGAGAGGTGAGTCACTATTGGCTCCATCTGTATGAGCAGCGACTACACGCATTGCGGCAGAACGAGGAAAATGTGGGGTGAATAAAAGCGAGACACGGTACAATAACATGACAAGAAAACAAAGATAAGACACTTAAAATTCGGCTGACAAAGAACAAGCTAGTTTAAATACTCATGATGCGTCATTATTTTAAGTTATTTGAGTAGATCGATGTTTTGAATATAAACTACAGCTCACATGACACGTGTTGAAGCAAATTCAGGTGTCCATGCTCTGTTTAGGAGCGCCACATAAGTGTGACGCAGTCATGTCAAGTATGTTTAGGGCCGCAGGTCCAGGCATGCAAATCGTCTGTGCGTTTACCTGGGAAAGGGAGGCTGCTTTTTTATTGTCGGATTTAATCAAACATAAAAGGGAACCTTACAGCAGAACAGAAATTGAAATGCACGTACAAATACAAGAATGCCGCTCGTGTGCCATCCTGTTTCTCTCTTTATGTGAAATTGAGAAAAAGGAAGTCGTTTATGGGATAAAAACACTGTTCAGCTCCCCCCCCCCTTTTTATTATCTGACTAAGTAACAACCAGTGTATGCGTCACACCAACTGCTTCCTCGTTTTACAGGGAAGCCTCATACTGCAATGACCATGCCAGCTCTGCTGCACTGATATGTGATACCAGTATCAGTATTATTCAATATGCTGCGGATATCGGCACAGTAAAAATACATCCCTTATGCATGGGCTAGTATGTACATGTTTGAGTCAATATTCATTTAAACCCAAATGTGCGTGTTGGAATATGGTCATGATTATCTCCCATTTTCTGAGAATGACCAGTAACATTAGCTCTTGTTCTAACCATCCTCTGAATAAGGAATAAATGTTTTTTAGCAGAGATACTGACGCGCTAGTCTGTGTGACAATGAAACTTAGGACTGTTAATGTGTGACACCAAACATGGTGACACAAAAAACTTTCCGACTTCTCTGACAACAAAGTAGAATAAGCACCAAAAGATGGGAGGCAGCAGTGTCTGTCAGAAGTATCAATTATAAATGGCAATCACTCATTTGATTGAAACAAGGATCTAATCCACACTTTGTTGTCCTTGTCTTTTGTATGAATAACCTAATAAGAGAAAAGTAACCTCTTAAACAACATTTCTGACACCTTTGATGTTGGGAAAAAAGTAGAAAGCAAGAAAATCAGTGAATAAAATAAAAAGGTGTAGAAATTAACACAAAGAACATTCATGGCCAAGTACATCTTAGCAATGATAAAAGTACACTAAGGCCATTGAGCATGTGTTTGTCATTACAGGTATTTACACGCGTGTGTGTAACCTTGCAAGGTCAATGGGCCATCTGTTGTTTCTTGCTGCAGGATGAAGGGCTGTGGGTCAAAGTAGGGGGTTCAGAATGGGAACCAACGGACAATGCTGGGATTAGCTAGTCTGATTATTACGTTGGATTAGCCCACTACTTTATGTAGTGGGCTGGATGTGCTTCTTCTACTTCTCTGCTTCTCTGTGTCACTGCTTCGCTCTCCCAGCCAATCCAAATTCAAACATACATTTTCCATGTCATCTGTAATCTCAGCCTTCCGAATAATGCAAAAGCTTTTTGTCTTTTCATTTGAACGGACATTGAAAGCAGAAGAGTACAGGTAGCAGATATGAACAAGAAGGTAAAATGCAGCTTCTCTGGAAGAAACAAGCAGAAGCTACGGCGGCCACTAAGGACGTTAACATCCTACTGAGATTAAGTCTGAATTAATCACAACATGCAGTGAAGTACATGCTCCAGATTGATTTCACAGAATTGTATGCACAGTAGATGAATTTGTAACAAAAAAAAAGGACGGTGCATGGTTACGTGTACTGAAAAACATCTTTATCTCTAAACCACGCAAACACAAAGAGATTAACTCTTTTTAAGCCTTCAAATCATCGGCCTTCTGCTTGTTCAAAAGATTAAATAAAGAAAAGAAAGGAACCCATGCCCAACTGAAAATACCAACGTACTTAATAACCCTTCTTGCCCCAACTCATGTATTTCCTGCCCATCTGTCGCATCATCACCCAGCAGATAACTGTGCATCTGTGTGACTTTAAGCAAACGCTGCTCAGTAACAGAGAGAATGACGGACTTCCACAGTATGGGTGCGGCCTGCTCTAGATTGCACATCTTGATACTCTTGGCAGCTGTGGAGAACATCTTGCTGCAGATGAAGAGAGGGTCATTTGAGGCCGTGCAGCAGGCAGGTGGTCAAACGGAGATATGCAGATGTCCGAGCACATGCGGGCAGAACTAAATACTCATTTACACATCCAGTTAACAGCATTTCTCTCAGTTTAGCGCCAACATTGTCTACCAAATTCTGGAAATAATCAAGTTACTTGAGGATGTTGACATAACAGCAACATTGAATTAAACAGAATACAAGCAACAAAAAAAAAAACTTTGTTCATTGCTGGTGCCTATTGTAACAGTCTGTACTTTGATTTTCTCACACGTACACATACAAATATCTCCAGGACAACATCCAGAATTAGTCATGTTGCTGTAGTCAGGCAACCTAAGCCACCTGAACGGTTCCCTTTCTGGGAGACCATCAGCAAGTTAAGTTGGAAACTATTGGCCGTATGAATCACTAGTTTACTGTGATCTTGTTTTTAAATAAGGTATAAAGAGGACAGCTCTGACCTTTACTTTCTAATAGCACTGCAGAAGCTGCCACTGAGCTCACAGCTGGGGTCTGCCACTGTTGGTTTAATGTTGGCTAGAGGGCCAGCTGTGGGTTTCTCACTGAGGCGCGACAGTTATCTGAACCCTGTCCTTCAATAATAACAAAATCCAATCCAGCGAAAGAAAATGAACTCATTACCAATCTATTGATCGGCAGCTGTCACGTGGGCATGAGGGAACAATGGAGGAGCACTATAAAAGGTCACCCTGCCGACCCTAATGGACTCGTTCGTAAAAGACTGCTCAAGAAGAGCAGGTAAGTGAAGAACTCCCATGCCTAGACAAATCAGTCATGGCAGAGTGCGGCCTATCAGAATCAAGCGGCAGGTGCAGTGAGGAGGGACGTGCAGCATTCTGCAGCAAACGGAGGGCTGGGCCTCTGCAGTGACCACACCACTCCGGGATTAGCTCCTCTGTTCTCTGTCAGTGCGTGCATCTCCCTGCTGCCAAGGCGCAAATGCATGCTGTCCTAGAAACCTCCACATGGCGAGTTAATTAGGTAGAGCCTCGTCAAAGTCTTTCAGAGGACTTGCTAAGAGGAGCCGCTCTCGGGGCCACACCCCTCAGCATTAGCCATTATGACCTTCTAATGAACCCTTAAGGCAGCCACGGCTCCATTATTTGATTCCATCAAAGGTCACCCAACCCTTTCCCTGCCACACTGACCCTTCCGTGATGAAAGTCATTTACCCATCATCCACTCACGCTCATATCTCCTCTCCCTACCCCATATGCCTCCTGTCTCCTTGCTAGCCAATCCCACAAACTGCAGCAGGAAGAAACATGAGCCAGGGTAACGTGAGCCTCGGGTCATTATCCCGTAACAGGATATACATTTGAGCAGGCCTCTGCCTCTATGCGCAGCCTCCCCCACTTTAAATCCCTCCTTCTATCTCTCACTACACCTGCACACTACTTATCTGCCCTTCCTCTGGCTGCCTCTCTCCTTCCCTCAGCAGTGCCCCCCCCCCCCCCCCCCCCCCCCCCCCCCCCCCCCCCCCTCGCCTGTGTCAGTTGTTGAAGGTGAAAAGCAGCAGCTGATGGACCTGTGCAGCCCCCCGGGAGCCACATCTCACTTTACATTTCTCCCACAGACTCATCAGCCCCGGTCCCTGTCACATATAGCTGCTGCATCACTGCAGAAAGAAGGGCAGCGTGCAAGATGAGAAGGTGATGTGTGCGAGGGCTCTTCATTAAGCCAGGCCTAAATTAGGAGTCGCCTTTGTTTCACGCAGCCTGTGATAAGATTCGCCTCTGAAACGTGTTCAAACGTTTCTCTGTGGCATGGCTGCGGTCTGTTAAAACGGTCTTTTCTGCGTGGCACCTGGTTGCGGCCTATCACAGCTCTTCACAGGGAATTTCCACCCCAGAAGCCCCGCCCCCGGTTTGACGCAGAAGGCAAGTCTCAAGCGATGCCCCCTGCGGCCTTGGGGAAGGACAGCTGGCAGTGTCATCGCACAGTGCGACAGTGTGAAAAGATGGGTGGAAAGGCGAAATTCTGGATGTGCAAATATACGTCAGCAGCTAAACCAAATACAAAAAAAACATCCCAATCCAACTTAGGTTCACGACCAACCCCCATCCCTTAATGCTTTTATATCCATCCTTTATCCCACCTCGGGGGTCACCTCGGCGCCCAAACGCAAAGAACTCTCCAATATGATCGACAGAGAGCCTCGCATTGGCGGATTATCGGTGCATGTTTTTTTTTTATTCCATCCATTTGGGCGACATTTTATTAAATCAAAATCTCTCTTATTTTTCTATTCAACGTTCCTCTCTCCACCGCTGGGTCTGGTGAAACGGTACATGCGTAAGCACTTTCTGTACCGTCTCGTTTGACGCAGTGCCCACTAACGCGTCCACATGTAAATGAAGACCTTGTGCGGACAGGAGGATCTATTTCCTCCAGAATCCCTCATCCTGAAGGTCTCCTTGATGCTGCTGGGGGGGGGGGGGGCAACATCAGCTCGTGTCTCTGCGATGTGACCAGCTCGACAATGCCTCGACAGCTCCGTTTTTCTGTCTGCAGCGTCATGCCTCTGCATCATGCAGCAGGCACGCCGCTGCCTGAGATTTAAAATTACAACTGGTGTCGCAGGACAGTGATGGAGCAGAAATTGCGCAATCGCTCCAAATCGGCCGTCTCGGCTTTGCCGCGCAGCTTGTAATTTTCCACCAGGGCTCTCGATCGATTCATTTACATGGCTAATAAGTTTAACTAGATAACCGGAAGCAGATGAGATTGTGTCGAGCGCTTTAATGGATGCGCCCAGAGGATAGCTCGCCAAAGTCAAACTGACAAACTCAAAGAACACACTGATTCGTCGTGTCCGTAGTGTATGTTACAGGATTGTTCGGTCGTTTAATCTGTAGTGTGTGTAAGTGTGTTCGTTGCCGGCGATTATCGAGTGCCTGTTATGTCACAAATTAAAGGGGAAATAAGCTGGTGAGGCGCTTATTCCTGGTAACCGCATTATGACGCACGGGTCAATGAGGGTGCTGAGGCTGCTCAGCTGATAGCGACCAGGACGCATCAGGGTCCCCGCGCATCTCCAGATGTTTCCGATGAGCCCGAAAGAGGCGACACAGAAAGGTGCCAGCGGGGTTGGAAACAGGAGGAGGAGGAGGGGGGGGGGGGGGGGTGGACCGCGAAAGGCTAAGGGGGGGGGGGGGGGGGGGGGTGGGGGGGATTCACAAGATGAGCTCATTCATCAAAGAGAAAGTCCTAATGCATGGTCATACAACTCAAATGTAGCAAAAGACCGTTTTTTTTTCAAAATAGAGGTTAACAATGGAGGGAGATAACATGTGCACCCCTCCCTCGCTTAAACACAAGAGCACTCTGGAGGAATAAACCGATTAGGCCTACTGCGGCTGGCAAGGTTACAGTCAAAGTGAGGCCTATCAGACACTTAAAATGACATACTGATAACCTCTAAAGCACACAGACCCCCCTTCCACTTCTCACCCTTTGCCATCGTCGTTTTTTTTCAAGTTAAGGCACATTCTAAGGAACGAGAGCAAATGATATGAGCCAAAATGATATCTTCTGCAAGTGAGAACCAGGTAAGAGTGAGATGAAACAGCGCAGTAAAAAAAAAAAAGACGCAGCTTTCTGTCAGGAGCTTCTGCTACATCAGTTTGTCGCAGTCTATGACAGAGCGGTAAAACACAGTTCCGCATTAGAGTCCGCGTTACTCAGACTCACAGCATTTCCTCGTAGGGAAAAAAAATGACATCACGGCTGTGTTAAAACCGTTGCTCGGAAGGAGCGAGGCATCCTGCTACCCCCTCACAGGCCACTTAGGTGGGCTACGACGCAGTTACAAAGTTGGAAATCGTCAGTCTTACCCCCATGTTTGCGCAGTCACTCTTTTCCTCTCAGGTGATGCACGGCTTGAGAGGTGTCAGCCCCTCACGACGATTAAGCCTGTATCAAAATGCCTCGCCTTGAAAAACACAAGAAGATTGGCTCAGTTGTTTTGAGTCGCTTTACAGAAGAAAAAAAAAATAGGACGGGAGAGAAGTTATCAGTGCTATAAATCTCATGAATTATCTTTTTTTTTCTCGGGCTTTAAATGAACAATTTCTCAAACCTTCCAAAAGCTCAGGCTACCCTCTCCTCCCTGTGAGACGTCTTTCAAATGAAATGTTGCGGTCTCAAGCGGAGCATCACGCGGGGACCCGCTTCCTCCCTTTGCTCTCTGATACTTGCGGTGAAAGACCGGGGAAACTGGCGAGCCGCACTGCTACTTCTCCAGCACTTGATCCTCCTCCGCGGCTCTGGCGGCTGCCGCAGTACTCCGCTCTTCTAGCTGCGCCCCTCCGCCGCCAGGAGCAGCCAATGGGCGAGCGGAGGGGCGGGGCTTACCCGCCCACCGCCGGCGCGCGCGGCCAATCGCAGCTCCGAGCGTCTCATCGGTGCTGGGATCGCTGACCAGTCGGGGTCAACCGAGTCTGCGAGCGAGCCAATGGCAAACCAATACTGCCCCTCCTGCTTTACTGCAGAATTCCGAGGCTGGCAGCCAGCAGCATCGCGAGTGTCTAGGCTGAAATTTTGTGAAAATGGACGTGCAAGGTTAGATACTAGTCGTGGTGGTTGTGTTGGCATTTTATATAATGTGTTTATGTAACATTAAAACGGCGGGTTTTTTGGGCTTTATACTACTGCATGTGATAAACACCCCTGGATGTGTCATCAATCGTGTTGGTCCTACCACGAGCACATTGTGCACCTACATATGTCACCCCAGCAGCGGCCTTAGGTTTGCAGGTAGGATTGATATGCACTGCGCGTGAGGGAGAAATCCCGATCAGATCAAAAGATTGGGATGAAGATAGAGTCACAGATCAGTGTATCGGTGCCCTATCAGGGACACACGCCTGTAATCTGACCGCTTATATCAGCACGTGTACAGGTTCGACAGTGCATAGTCAGCGTTTTAGTTGGTGTGCAGGTGTCTTTGCCCGAGAGCAAGGCTAATGAGGAATCTGGACTGGCCTGTTTCAGAACTATAATTTTACTCTCAAGCTTGACTTTTCTTGACATTTATGAGAACAGTAGTAATAAAAACTGTTTTATTTTTACTGTTGACACCTGGGGTTGATGGGTGGTGCACACTGACAGGGCAATGAGCCGGGCTAACAAACCAGGCTGCATTTTTCCGGAATAAGGAGGAACCTGAAGCCAGCCAGTTTCACAGAGATAACAAGACATGGGGAGCGGGAAAGGCATTGACGGACAGATTGAGCTGGCTTCTGTAACAGTGCCAAAGACATGAGGCGTGAAAGACAGACAAACAGAGGGCGTTCAACAACAAGACTGGCTTTGCAGGCCTTTGGTCGCACTTTTCCTCACCGAGTGTCGATGCTGCAGTGAGTGCTCGCACACGCAGAGTCACTGAGCTGCAAATACACATGCATGCACAGCAGTGGCTGATTTGGAAGGGAGCGCTGTCAGAGTCGCCTGTGCTGTCCCCGCAGCATATTGCCGTCATGCCTCGTTGCATTTCTTGCTTTGGGCTGAGATGTTGAGCACAGAGCATCACGACAGCCCAGAGCATCAGAGTGGGCTTTGCTCCGGGTTAGGGGACTGTCGGCTGCTGCACTCTTCAAATATGCTGTCACGGTGCACTCAGATTCATCATTTAAGCTCAGACACGGCAGATGAGGAGCTGGTAACGCAAATATAATCTAACCGTGTGATTATGCTTGTGCCACATTTTGTGACCTCGATGAACTAACAGATGGGGAGATGTTACATTTTTAAGCAGCTAGTGAGCTGCAGAGAGATTGCTCCCTACAGCACTGACAAGATTTTAAAGAACAGTATATGTCGACATACTCTATTTACAGCTTAACCTGGGTCTGTTTTAAAAAAAATCATAATAGGGATATAAATAGTTCAATTTTTATCACTAGTTCTGTCTCTTTGCCTTTTTACTTTTAGTGAAGCATATTTCCATTTACTTTGTCAGACTATTGGAACAATAGTTCCGTGCTTTTTAATAAGCTTGTAACACAAACAGACTCTTTTTTTACATTTCACTGTTGCTGACTGCTTTACCACTTAAAAGTCTAAAGTATATCTCCAGCTTATACTGCTAGCCCTTTTCTTTTCTTAATTTTCTTTTTTAATACAAAAAAATTGAGATATGGGTAGCCTACATTATGCTGGGTTAAGACTTGAAAATGCGTTTCTGAATTTCACATAGTGCTACACATGCAGGAGACTTTGTCATCACAGTGCTGCTAATAAAGTTTTATTCAATCTCCTTCCATCCAAAATGGCTGCCAACAGTACCATGTCCTTTCCACTGTCATTCCTTCATGTTATCCTTTTGCCTTTCTCCTCTCACCACACAACCCTCAGACTCCTCTCAGTGCAAGAAAGGAGGGGACTTTAACCCCCCCCCAAAAAACAAAATTTAAACCTCCACAGCAACAGCAGTCAGATGACCTTGCCTCTGACTTGTTCTGCTGAGTCAGAAATTGAGGGATGGGTGAGGGGGATGCAGGGGGAAAGAATAGGAGGAAGAAGGAAGGAGAGGGACAGATAGATGATACAGAGAAAAAAGGCTGGTACTTGCTGTGATTCTGGCTTATTCTGTACCAGTGGATGCTGGTCGCTGCCATGTCATTCTAATTTACATAATGCTGATTTTTTTTTGTGACTGGAAAAGCAGCCGAACACAGGATTTGTCGAAAGAAACAAAGACTCACATAAAGGTGTGTTGGTCTGCATAGTCAGTGATATCGGAAATGGTGGTGTCACAGTGTTCTGTATGAGTCAGGGTTGCAGATGAGTAGTATGCCATGAGGTTTTAATGTCATAAGCCTGTGCGTGTGGTTCAGGAAAGCGCATGTGGGTCATACTAAAATAGTGCGCAGGACGTGTAAATATATCTTAATTTAAAAAAGTATGTGCACACTCATTTACTGCAGTTGTTCAGAATGTGATTGATGAGAATGCAATTTAACACATGGCCACTAATGTGCTTTTCTCCCAGCTTCAGCTGTTTGCTTCTACAAAAATACATGTAAAGTCAGGTGATGCTTGAAAGAGGACCTCGTTGGCAATGAGTGTTCCCAGCATTTGCAGTTAATCCTGCAGATGTCAGATAATGTTAGTTTTATACCGCTATGCGAGAAAGGGAGGATTTTCCAGCAGATAGTGACACAGAATTACTTCTGTGTGCTTTTCTTTGTGTTGGCATACATGGGAAAAATGTAGGGGGGGACCACAGCCACAAATAAGGTTTGTATCAGAATGTAGGGAGTCATTTGTATTTGTGTGCATATGCGTGTGTATGTGTGAAGGTGATCCTACCTAATCCGGTTTTATAAATATCTGACATAATCTGTGTTCCACTCAGAGTCCAGAGATGAGGAGAGAAAGACTGACAGCAACAAAAAGATGCGAGGGCTGACGTGGTAGGGGGCAGATGATTGAATGGCAGATGGGCTTAAGGAGGATGGCAGAAATGAAGAATGAGAACAAAGGGCGGGTGGGAATGGGATGAACTGAGCAAGAAGTAAGTAAGACATAGATGAAGGAGGACAGAGCCTGGTGGGTGGTGGAAAATTCCACTGAGATTTAGCGTGGTGAGAGTAACAAGACTTTTAGTGATCATTTTGGACATCATGGAAGGACAATTGGGTTTAGGGAGGATGCAGTAAGCAGACATTTGATAGCGAATTCAACAAAAGTAGAGGGAAAAACAGGAATCTGTCAATACAGCTACATGTACATGCATGCGCTGCAGACTCTTGAGAGAAAGGGAAAATACAGAAAATACAAAAGAAAGTAAAAGTTGTTGATTAATAGCTCAGAAACTACTCTACAAGTTAAAACTACTCTGTTGTGTTAGATACTAAGTTTTGAGCCACAAAACTTACTACCTGCTTTAGTGGTTTGCTAATGTGTAAAAAAAAAAAAGAAGGCATTTAAGACTTTAGAGCTGAAACCTAACCCAGTTAGCACATAAAGCTTTTTCTTTCAGCTCACCAACATATCAAACGCCCTGCACATGTCCTCAGGCGTCTGACTACAGCCATATAAAGCATTAATGGAAATGATGTGGGATCAGTTGAAGTAAAGGTGTCTGTTTCGTCCTCATAGGAGGGGTGTGGCTGGTAACATGGTTTCTGTGTTTGCATGTTCAAACATGGGCACTGTACAAACAGGCAAATGGTCTTAGTCATACCTCCTCTGGGTCAGATGCATCAAAACTCCACACATATGTGCATATCATTTGAGCTTATTGTAGAAGTTAAGCTAATGCCCTATGTTAGTGTTATTCCTTGGTTTCTAACCGTTCAATTATAGTATGTTTATTGAAATGAACATGGGGTCAGGCACATCTGCCTCACAGGAAATCAGAGAATAACTAAAGATTCTTTTTTATGTACTAACAATGAAAGGGAAACAATTTCAGGGTTCGTGACAGTGGTTGTCATCGTTGCAGCTAAAGCAATGATGAGTCATTAAACAAATAAGTGGAAAATTGGGGGAAAAAAGATGAAAAAGAGGAAGATTCATTATGACAAACTGTCAAGGGATGCCAGGGACTGGTCTGAAGAGATGATGGCACTTCTGCATTAAATGGATACAAGACAAGTGGACTGGTTTTCGCAGCCCACTGCTAGATAAGCCTGATGTCTTTTGTGCTGACAGTGGAGTCATTTGCTCCATCAACATCCTCTTTGCTAATTATGAGGATTTAGTGTTTTCTTAAAAGAAAGGCTTGAGAATAACAGCGACTCTGATGTGGAAACTAACATGAGTTAAACTTCCCTTCTGCTGCTTGCAGTAGGAGTATTTAACACAACGGCATGAAAAACGTATTGAGGGAATA